GGAAAGAAAAAGACAATTAATTATTATTATTGTTACTAGTAGACTTAGTAGTGCTTAGAGATTTGTCAATATTGCTGGATACTTGTAGAGCATTTTGTACCTTTAGTAGAGATATTATAGACATACATAGATCTAGATCTAATTTTCAATAAATATTTTTTGTTTGTTAATCAATCACAATGTACAACAGCACAGACACAGAGTTTCATTAAAAATACCATGTACTTATTATTTAAAGCACAGTATACTTGTTGTGATTGTGAACTCTTTTAAAGCAATGTAAGGACAGTTGGGTTTTGAAGCTTCACATTCTCACATTCATACAGTATGTAGAGGTGATACATGAATAATGCTATCTAAAGGAGGTTGGTATTGGGAATATTCTTTATTTGTTTTCCAATCTATGCAGATTCCCTTGATTATGCTGCATATAAACAGTTTATAGCTGCTTATTTCACAATATAAAGTGAGAGAATGACAAATGTAATGTTGAATAAAACACAAAATGAAGACTCATTCCCTCACATCACCCGGTACTCAAACACAAGTCATGTGAGAGGTGGTCATGTGACATTACTGTGTATAATAACATTATTAGTGGTAGAAGGAGTAGTTCCATTACTCTGCTGCTGAGCAAAGAGAGATGAGGAGAGAGGAGAGGATGGTATTGAATTTGAAGGTGAAGAGATGTTGCTCTTTGAGGAAGGAACGGTTAACTTTAACTTCTTGCTTCTATTGGTTTTGATGCCACGCCCACTCCTTTTGACAGCTGGTCGAGAGGGCGTGTTACTGTTACCGTGACGGTGAGGTATAGACCCACCCATTTCTGTATCTCCACCTCCAACCACATCAACGTAGTCTCCGTTAGTTGTTTCATTAGTGGCCAGTGAGGTTATGCTAGGAGCATGACTAGGAGTGGGAGAGGAAGAGGGGATGGACTGGGAGGGTGGGGGCTTCTTTGTGGAGGGAACCGTCTCGGGTTTTTGAGGATTCTTTCTCTTCCTTGATTTCGTGATTTTCTGTTTCGAGACTTCCTCCTGAGCCTTCTTCTCAGCTTGCTTGGCTAAAACTATACAAGAGAGAGAACAAAAATAATAATTACGACAAAAAACATTTAACTAACATCTTGTCTCCATTTCTTCATCATCTAAAAGGAGTGAGACAACCTCTTTTGGTTTGAGTGTGTCTATTTTGAAATCCCCTCCTGATATCACCATCTTCTGTATCTCGCTCTTCTCGTGGGCTCGCTGGAGTATCCTCTCCTCAATACTTCCCTTCACTATCAGCCTGTATACTGTTACCTGTTTAGTCTGACCTAATCTATGAGCTCGGTCCATGGCCTAGGGAAGAGAAGAAAGAAAGGAGATGGATTCATATAGTACAGCATATCTCTTCATTCTCTCTCTTACCTGCTGGTCTACAGTGGGGTTCCAATCACTATCATAAAATATCACGGTATCTGCCGCTGTCAAGTTGATCCCCAGACCCCCTGCTCGTGTGCTGAGGAGGAAAACAAAAATATCCGACTTTGTCTGGAAGTCGGCAACCATGTCGCGTCGATCGGATATCCTAGAAGAGCCGTCGAGTCTAATGTACTTGTGGTGTCTGTAGCTCATGAACTCCTCGAGGAGATCAATCATTCTTGTCATTTGAGAGTACACTAGGACACGATGGCCTTCTCTCTTTAGTTTAGAGAGGAGCTTATCAAGAACAAGCATCTTGTGACTATCAGTTATCATCTTCTCTTTATCTGGAGAGAGAGAGAAAGAGGGAGAAGAAAGTTACTTAAAATTCTAAATCTAATCCAGTTACTTGGTATGTTAATGTACGACCACCCCCTGTCCTTAGGGTGCATTGCTTCTAGTCCTCCTCTAATGGGTGTGGTCAGACAGAGCTCTCCTGTAGCTTGAGTAACCCCACATTGGAAAAGACTCTTGACCTCCTGGTCTCCGCCCTCTTTAAGGAGGTCGACATGATACTGGGCACCTCGATCAACAGTGTAGAATAAACTGAACTGAGAATTAATCTAAAAAGAAAACAATGACAATAATAATAATAATGTGCATGTACATATACATGTAGTTACTAAATGTAAGTATGTCCATGTACATACATGAGTACCTTGGGTTCAAAAGCATTATAAAAATAAGAAGGTAATTCTGTTAGTTGACAGTGTCTGTACTCAACAGAATCAGAGGGAGAAGAGGAGGTACGGTCAATAAAACAAGAGGCGCTGCTGGCTGATATCCTCCTATGAGATCCTTCGCTCGACACTGTCGTACTGATCTGGTTCAGATCTGATGTCGAGCTCTCTTGTTGCTCTTTAATTAGAGTAATTATGTGCGTCGTGTGGGTGTAAGATGAAGAGGCGTGGCCTGTGAATACGAGCTGTGATAATACCAGACTTTGTGCAATTGAGAAATAAGAGAGAGAGAAGGAGGGGGTGAGAAGTAATTGATGCCTAAAACGAAGACAAGATTTGAGTTGAGTTAACTTATGCAATATGTACATGTACGCGTATCTTGTACCTTTTAAAAATACAATATTTATAGGACAAAGGACCCTCTTCCTCCTCCTCTTCTTTCCAAGTTCTCCAGTAATATAACAACTGCAAGCTGGCGGCCATTTCAGCTATCAATTTCATCCTATAAACAAATACATATAGATGTAAATGAGATGTACAAAATGTACATGTCAATTGTTTTACCTGCATATTGCTCCAGATGAGTATATCCCAGCTGCATCCGAAGGTGTTAAATTTGCGAGTCTTAAAAAATTCCAGAGGCCACCTCCACTACTGGTTGAAGATTGATGGGCGTGGTCAGCAGTAGCCACACCCAAATGCAATGTCAGCAATCTATAAAATTTGATATTTAATAATTAAATGATAATATTTGTACTATACCTTTGACGAGACTCGTTGAGTGGGCGGAGACAATAATGATAAAGTAGGCGAGGCAATGGGAGGGGAGAAATTGACAAGTTAATGGGAGAGAGAACATCTCTTCTCTCAAATAATTCAGGATGATTACAAACCTACAATGACAACATAGTAACACTGCTATAATCCTTTAATTCCATGTACTTTTCTAAACTGCATGACAATGTTCATGAGAGTGGAGGTTGAGTCTTTTGAAGTGTTAGAGTGAGAGAGAGAGGATTTCAATAAATCATCAATTGATATTCGCTCCTTTAATCTGTGATATAATTCTTTCTGACGTGACGATAGACCACAAGACAAATGAACCTCAATCTAATTAATAGTATAATTAAAGGGGCTGCAAGTTAATAATAATCAGTAAATTACTTTTTCAGCCATTTCGTGTTCAACGTCTTTCTTGATTCTTCTTAACATGAACGGCTTCAGAATCATGTGCAGACGAGAGAGTTGATCTAAGGAGAGGAAAGATAAGGTCACATACAATACTAATAGTGGTACTCACTCTCGTCAAGTGCTGATTTCTTCTCGGCGTGATTCTCAATGTCTTTAGAGAACCATTCGCTGAACTCGTCATGTGAATCAAACATTGTCGGCATTATGAAGTGTAGCAATGCCCAGAGCTAGAGAGAAAGAAAGTATATGTTTTACGTTGAGTAGAAAGTTTGAACAGATTCCCATCAAAATTAATTTTTTTGTAAATTTTTTAATTTGCTCCAAAATCAGGTCAAAGTCCCTGTACTATAGTACAGGGTCATTGGCCAAATTTCACCAAAAATGACTAGGAGAGAATTCTTTGTTTTTATAATTTATTCTGATACATATACATGTTCTTATGTCGTGTAGCAAGTTTGAGCCGATTCCGATCAAAATTAGATTTTTATGAATTTTAAAGTTACTCCAAAATCGGGTCAAAGTCCCTGTACTATAGTACAGGGTCATTGGCTAAATTTCGCCAAAAATGACTAGGAGAAAATTCTCCATTTTTATAATGTTTTCTGATACATATACATGTTCCTATGTTGTGTAGCAAGTTTGAGCCGATTCTGATCGAAACTAGATTTTTTATGAATTTTTAAAGTTACTCCAAAATCAGGTCAAAGTCCCTGTACTATAGTACAGGGTCATTGGTCAAATTTCGCCAAAAATGACTAGGAGAGAATTCTTCATTTTTATAATTTATTCCGATACATATACAAGTTCTTATGTCATGTAGCAAGTTTGAGCTGATTCCAATCAAAATTGAATTTTTTATGAATTTTTAAAGTTGCTTGAAAAGCTGCATGTTATACTCACCTCAGCCATTGTGTTCTGTATTGGGGTCCCGGTCAATAAAAGACGATTCCGACAATTGAAACTCATCAAAAGCTTCCAACGAACACTTTTAAATTAATAAAACAAATAATTATAACTATAATAAATATATTCTCATACCTTGAGCTACTTTTAATGGCCTGTGCCTCATCGAGTATCATGTACTGCCACTTTAAGCGCTGGAAATATTTGAAATCCTGCACCACCTGCAAAGATACGAATCACTCGTGCATAGGAGCTGATAAATATGTAGATAGAACAACATACATGTACCAAAACATATTTTTCTATTGATAAGAACAAGGCTGATAGGTCGACCCATCATACCCTCACTACTTTTCCCCAGTATATAAAGCAGACCTCTTCTCTATCTCTCAGCATGTCAATAGACCTGAGCTTTCTGTCATATTAATTTTTTGGAAGGTCACTCTTAAATAAGGAGTGACCATAAATAAATAAATAATAATAGCTTTTATATTAATGTACATGTACATGTACATGTATCTACATGCATGTGCATTGCCAATTAAAGCAAAGCTAGGTTAAGAATGATCACTTACTAGTTGATAGCTTGTGATTAGGACATGAAAGGGAGCATTTCGATGACTTAGCAACTTCTAAAATTTAAATTTAAAATCACATACTAAAATCAGCTATACACAGAATACCTGGTTCCAATATTTCCTGATGACTTTCCTCTCATATGGACTACCCCAGTAAGGTAACACCTAATGGAAGAGAGAGAGAGAGAGAGAGAGGTGAAAATGAAAAAAGTTATTTTTGTTTGTTGATTTTGTTTGTTATTATAACTTACTGTGAAAGTATCAACAAATCTTGTACACTCTTGCTGCCAGTTGTGAAGTGTTGAGGCAGGAGACACTATTAGAAATGGGCCCCAAATATTTTGATGCTACACAAAGAAAGAAGAACATCAATTGTGTGAACAGTAGAAGATACGTGGTCATGTAATGTAGTCCTTACTTCTGCTAAATGAGCCAGTAGTGCTATACTCTGTACAGTCTTACCCAGGCCCATCTCATCAGCTAATATACCATTAATACCCTACACACAAGAGAGATTAAATGACTATTGTTGTGTGTGTATGTACTTGATCATATAAACTAGCTAGCCAGTTCATTCCTTTCAATTGGTAGGCCTTTAATTGTCCACGAAATATTGACGGTTGAGATAACTCATGATCAATTGCTAGGGCTGGATTAGCTAAACTAAAATTCTGATCAACTAAAAGAGAGAGAAAGAACAAACAGAGAGGGTTATTATACATAAACAATATGTACAATACAAATGTACATGTACACCAATCTTACATGATTGCTGCAGATCAACATTGTTGGTATCAATTGGTTTACGAGCTGCTTCAACGTAACTCTCATGCTGCAGAAAAGACGAAAGGTTTCTATTGATTCTCTCTCTCTTTCCCTTTCTCTTACTTTGCTTCTGTGTCTCTCAACAGCTGCTTGTACATTAGTAAGTGCATGTGCCTTTACAGCTTCAGTATCTATAATAATAAAACAATAATTACATTATTACAATGAACTAAGATCATATGACATACGTGTACATGCACAAACAATCACTGACCATAATCATCAGCTTCCTCCATTCTATTCAAAACTGTCTGTGGTACATTCTCCTTCACTAGTGGTTTGTCTTCTAAACTTTTCAGTATTTCTTCAGTGGATTTCTCTTCACCTTTAGGAGACGAGCATTACTATGATAGCACAAAATAAAAAAGACGGAACTACCTGTGAATTTCTTTGACATGAAATGTGCATAAAGTTCTGTTTGTGTAATTAGAAAATTCAATTTTCTTTGTTGACGTCGAGCCTAAACAATCGGTTAGGTCAATCAAGAGGACTAAATAAGGAGAACATACTTCTCTCATTTCCTCGTAAAGTTTAAGTTGTTCCTGAGCTTCTTTTTCTGCCTTCTTCCTTGCCTCTTTCTCAACCTTCTCATATTTCTTCCAGTAAGCCAGAACCTCCTTTGTCACCTTTCTTGCTCTGGGCTGGACACAGTTACTCTCTTTGCTTTGCTTCTGGGACTTTGCTGCCCACCTCCTCACTTCCCTCTGACAATAGACAGCAATCTGGAAAAGAAAAAAGAGAGTAAATGGTATTAACTACATGTATATCAGACGTGTGGATATGGATATGCACATATACAGACTAGTAATACAGTACATGTACAAAACGTACATTATAATACAATATTATAGGGAAATTAGTTTAGAAAACATATACATGTACACTACTGCCAATATAAACCATTAGATCATGATATCAAAGCCTCTGGTCTTTACTTTCTTATTATTGGACGAGATTATGTGTCTCGCTTGTGAAAATACTTTAGCCATTCTTGGAATATCTTTCTTTACGATATAGCTCCAGAGTTTTTTACGGTAATCCATCGGATTCTGACTGCTTCCCCTTTTGACGCTCCCAGCTCTACTTGAGTTCCTATCGAATTCCGAATCATCATCACCCCACTTATCATCCTAAGAGAAAGGGAGGAGAGATGGTTATTTCAGACCCTACATTTCCTTACTCACCTTTCTTGACACACTATCAGCTTTTGTATGATCTTCTTTCAATCTCCTTGTACTCTGCCTTGTGCTCTTTCTCTTCTTCTTCTCTGCCTCCACTCTCCTACATATCTCTGGGTACCTGTCCTCTTGCAGTACCAGACCAGCACTGATGTACTGATATCGTCTGATCTTTGAGAGCCTCTTAAGCCGTCGCTTCCACTTGAGTTTCTGCTTGTAACGTAGCTCAAGCATCAGCTGGAGTTTATCATTATCCCCTATCTCTGATTCGGACTCGTCTGTGTCACTCAATAACAGATCCTGAGGGAGGAAGGGAGTGTGTACATAATGCACACGACAAATGACGACATACATGTACATGATGTATAATGTACGTGTACATATAATGAGTACATGTGTGCATTATGTGCATGTACGTGTACATGTATTTTACTTTACCTTTATCCATTTTCTTTCTGGTGTAACATTTTTAAAGTTAAAAAACTTTTCTTTCTGCAGCCTGCAAGAGTGATAATAATAAATAAATAAGGATGACGTGTAAATGTAGCAAATTGTGTGCCACCATGTGTACCTTTTTGGAACTGAAGGATTCGCGAAAGGATTCTCTCTTTCTCCCTCTTCCATCTCCTCCTCCTCCACCTCCTCTTTCCCCTTTCTGTCTGTCCAGGTATCCTCCACAACGCTGAGGTATGGTTTTACATTTAGAACTCTCTCCAGGCGCTGTATGTGGAGGGGTAGGGCTAGCCTTGGTACAGTCATATTGGATTGAGACGTGGGGCCAGTGGGAACCTCTCCCACTCCTGCTGGAACCTTCTCAATCTTCTTCACAGACATTAATTGGTATTTTGATAAGAATAGAGACAAAGGGGCAAGGGAGAGAGGGCCTTCAGGGGCAGAAAAATCTTACACGCAAACCTAAAGTGGAAGGAAACATGAAAATGGTTTAAAAGTGTAAGAACTCACCAGTTAGGAGACTTTTGTGGAGGAGAGACAGAGAGAGAAAGAGCCACTGTCACTCTTCACCAAACGAAGGTCCACCCGAGCTTTTTTATTTCAAACAAAGGGCAGACCACAAGAGGCGAGATTTCCCCTCCCTCCCTCTCTCACTCTTTCTCTGTGAAAAGAGAAAGAGGAGAACAGTCGATGAAGAATGCACAAAGTTTAATATGAGCCACCTCTACAGTAGCGTGCCAGGGACAGAAGCGTGGCAACCCAAAGACAGAGAGTGTGGTAGAGATAGATGGGATTGTGTGGTAGTGTGTGTATGCGCCGTGAGTGTTGCAGCGTGGTGATCTGGCCCCGACATTCCTCCCCAATGGAAGGAGCCGATAAGGAGGAGGACCCCCGACACCGCAGCCATCTTTACAATGACACGGGACCCGAGACACAAAACTAATCCGGTTTGCTACGGACATTCCCGTATTAAAGTTAGCTAAAATTTTATGAATTAATTACTAGTTATTTAACTAAGTTTATTAATATTAACCCTTTTGCTTTTTGGTTTTGTTCTCTTTTCAGGTTTCTTCAATGCATTCTCTTAGGTTTCTGTCCAGTATTTCAAAAAGGTCCAGGGTATTAACCCTACAGTACAAAACCCAGTATTGTTGGTATCACGGTGAGTCTCAAGGCTCAAGAATAGGCTCTCCGTTGGAACTGAGGGACGATGTCAAACAAAATGTCGACCAAATGAAATCGATTGTCTTTGATCTCCAGTTGCATGCAAAGCGTATCTGTAAAGGTGGAGGGGAGACAGCTCGGAAGAGACACACGGATCAAGGGAAATTGTTTGCACGTGATAGGATCGACCGACTATTGGACCCCGGGTCTCCGTTTCTAGAACTCTCTCAGTTAGCTGGATACAATATGTACACTGATGATGATGATAGGATAGAGGATATACCAGCAGCTGGGATCATTACTGGCATAGGGAGGGTATCAGGGAGAGAGTGCATGGTAGTTGCTAATGATGCGACAGTAAAGGGTGGGACCTATTACCCCATTACTGTCAAGAAGCACGTGAGAGCTCAGGAGATAGCACAAGAAAACCGTCTACCCTGTATCTATCTTGTTGACTCGGGCGGGGCCATGTTAAAGCATCAGCGTGACGTGTTTCCAGATCGGGATCATTTTGGACGAATATTTTATAATCAAGCCCGAATGTCTTCTCTCTCTATACCCCAGGTTGCTGTGGTGTTGGGTTCTTGTACAGCAGGTGGGGCATATGTTCCAGCAATGTCTGATGAAAGTATCATCGTAAAGCAACAAGGTACTATATTCCTTGCTGGACCGCCGCTCGTCAAAGCAGCTACAAACGAGGTCATATCATCTGAAGATTTGGGCGGAGCTGACGTCCACTGCAAGATATCAGGTGTGGCTGATCACTACGCAACCAACGATGACCACGCCCTTTACTTGGCAAGGGAGTGTATACGAAATCTTAATTATGTCAAAACTCCTGATATCAGCATAGAGGCAACTGAAGATCCTCTCTATCCTCAGGAAGATCTGTACGGCCTAGTGCCTACTAGCCTGAAGAAATCTTATGATGTACGTGAGGTCATAGCTAGGCTAGTTGATGGGAGTCGCTTTGCTGAATTTAAAGAATTATACGGAAATACACTCGTCACTGGCTTTGCCCGCCTTCATGGCTACCCACTGGGAATAGTTGCAAACAATGGTATACTAAACTCAGAGTCTGCCCTGAAGGGAACGCACTTTATTGAGCTCTGCTGTCAGAGAAAGATACCACTACTCTTCCTACAGAACACGACCGGCTTCGTAGTTGGAAGAAATGCAGAACACGGAGGGATTGCTAAAAATGGAGCAAAAATGGTGACCGCCGTAGCCTGTGCTAAAGTACCTAAAATCACTGTTTTGATCGGCGGGAGCTTTGGAGCCGGGAACTATGGTATGTGTGGACGCGCGTACAGTCCAAGGTTCCTTTACATGTGGCCCAATGCACGCATATCAGTAATGGGAGGGGAGCAGGCTGCAGGGGTACTGGTATCGCTCGACATAAAGAAACTAGAGAAACAAGGAAAGACTGTGACACCGGAGATGATCGAAGAGATGAAGCGCCCGATCATTGAGAGGTACGAGAGAGAGGGACACCCATACTTCTCTAGTGCTAGGCTATGGGACGACGGAGTGATAGACCCAGCGGACACTAGGAGGATACTGGGACTGAGTCTTAGCGCCTGTTTCAATGCTCCCATTGAAAAAACTAGTTTTGGAGTGTTTAGAATGTGAAATTATGTTTTTTAGGCCAATGTAATCATGCATTTATTATTGTTAAAAAATAATAAAATTAATTTTGGTAATTAGATGCGTAGGTGGTCAGTTCAATAGGTGGAGCTATGGGTGTGGCTAAATATGGCAGTTCCTGATCCCTACATTATATTAGGTATTGATAGAAGTGCAAATGAGAGAGAAATAAAGATTAGATACCAACAATTAGTGAGAAAAGTAAGAAGCAAAAATTCCTCCACTAATTACATTTTTTGGTAGTGTCACCCAGATAAGCTCCACCCCGATTCCACGCCTATCCAAAGAGCAGAAGCCACAGAAGAATTTCACAAATTAAGCTCCGCCTACCAGCTACTAATTAATAAAGACTCAAGATTAAAATATGACGTGGAACAAAAAAGCAATGAAGTGACAGAAAAAAGTATCATTAACGAAACAATATCATTAAACGAAATGATACTGAGTGGCGAGGGAGAGAGAAGAGAGTATGTTTATGATTGTCGCTGTGGAGGCGTTTACACTATTTCAGCAGGAGAACTGTTAAAAGAAGAACTAATAGTTCCATGTGACACTTGTTCTCTTAATGTACAAGTAATACATAGTCATTAGCATTAAAATTTCTATTATATTTTTAATAATATTTAATTGTTATTGGGATTGTATTATAAGCAAATTTAATTGTTAAAAGTCGTTAAAATAATAATATTATTATTTATTGATAATCATTTTTTAATCTTCATAAATCTGTACTTGATAGCCCAACAACGTATGCCAGATGTCTTAGATGAGAGGGTAAGAACCAGTAGCAGCCATACAGAGCAAGGAAGAACAACAAGAGAATAACAGTATCTGATACATAACAGTCAAAGATATAACAAAATATCAATCAAAGTATCAAACTACTTAGATTTAATACATGCAGATAGAAACACAGAAAGGTAGCAATCATTATAATTACCCTTATAACAAAAAATACACAATCCATTCCATATAATACAGTAGTGGGTTACACAAAGTCAATGATAACAACATACCCGCTCCATCTTTCGTTACTATCAGTACAGTTAATAAAAGGATACACATTGCATAATACTCAAAAGGCTCCAACATGTTCATGGCCGTCGTGGCCTCCAGAGCAAGCTTCAATCTCTTTATCTTGTTCAAGGCCTCCATTTTTACCTGTTCTGTAAAGGGCGTGGGTTAACAGAACCACGCCCATACCTTTTCAGGTGTGGCTTTAATTTTTTGCACGTTGAAATACAATCACCACAGTACTGAGATGAGTTCTATTGGAACAGGGGTAATTTTATTAATCTTAAAATATGTGAATATTTTGTTTTCTGTAGTATGATCTCTCAGCTTCAACTTATTCCCCGGATGGGCGAGTATTTCAAATAGAATATGCTTCAAAAGCACTTGAAAACAGCGGGTATGAAAAATAAATAACTTGACTAGTTAAAATTTTAATTATTATTATTTTGTCGTAAAGTACTGCAGTTGGTTTGAGGTGTAAAGATGGCGTTGTTTTTGCCGTTGAAAAACTAGTGATGTCAAAGCTTCATGAGGCAGGATCTGACAGGAGGATATTCACTGTTGACAATCACGTTGGGATCGTAAGTAACTGGGTGTGGCTTTCATTGAATGTAGTCCCTCCTATTGTATAGGCTTCAGCTGGTTTGATAGCAGATGCCAGAAAGGTGAGGAATCTAGTTTATACATAATATGTGTTGCACGTAGCATATTATTACTCATGCAACTCAACTTGAATCATAAGGACATTAATAATGTTATGTAATATAAACGTGGGCCTGGGGTCTTTTTAGAACCAATTCTGATGGACATATGTACATGTAGTAGCCAGTAAAAAATTGAGAATTCTCTCCTAGTCATTTTTGGCAAAATTTGGCCAAAGACCCTGTACTAAACATAAAAAATTAAAAAAAAACAAGATTGAGTAGGATTCCGAACGACCAACGAAAATGCAAAATGAAAATCCTACTCTCGTGACGCAAATTCTACTCTACATTGTACTTTTAATGTTCTTATGTAAAAGTTATGGATCACCTTACAATGTAGAGTAGAA